TACTACTTCGTTCCCAACTTATACTTATCCGACATGGCCTTCGTGCCCTACGTAGCCGTAGTAGCCTACGTAGCCGACATAGCTTAAGTGGGCCGGGTTACCCTAATTTGGAGTAGCCGTAGTCACGTGCCACGTGACTTCCCCGGATAACACTAGTTTATAAATGTTGGTTTCAGAATACAGTATATGCTATAGGATCTCGAATTTTGAAAGGTTTAAATCATTGATATTTCTGAAACTAGTTTCGGATAGGTTAACAAGAAAATGCGCGACAAGATCATAATTCAAAAATTATAGTTTTTTAACAACCTCTACACGTCAGACACGCGTCCAAAAGGAATTTGCTAAACTCTATTACCAATATTTTGAATATTAACTAATATATTCAAAGGAATCCATTCAATTACATCTTCGTATTTCGTTGTTAGAATTAGAATTAGAATAGCACATACATTAGGAAATATTATATTACAAATTCTATAGTTAAATTTTGATATTAGATATAGGCGGTTTATGCTGATGTTTAGTTAGATATACGTATGGCTAATTGGATATACCGAAATAGCAAATAGCAAGTACCTGTACGTTATTTCGAATACATGCATGCGGTTGTTTAAGATAAGAAGTCAATTTCTAGGTCTATTTATTACTTACTGTATGCATATAAATTCTATATTGTATTATTTCGGATTTTTGCGTTAAGTCCAAAAATAATCATGGATGGACATATGGCATCAACGCTAAGGATAATTGAATTTGTGATTAAGGCTAATTGGACATAAATCTAGGTCTATTTAGATAAAGGCTAGGGCTAATTAAAAAATATTGGACTTAAGGCTATAAATCTGTATGTAATTTATGCAGTTGGGTCACCGCAGAAGATCATAAAACCACGCAAAAAGAACACGATATATGTGCTTAGAACCATTATATAGGTTAAAAAAAGGTTGCATTAATAATATAACTGTCATCAATAAATTTTTATACCTTTAAGAGTGATGTGTTTTTCTTTTTTCATTTTATTCTGAAACAAACTAAATACAATTCAAACGCGATTGATTTTAAACATGTTTCAAAACGCAAGATTTAACGTTTCAAACTAGTATGTGCACAATAATATATTTAGCACTAAATACTTAGTTTTAGAAAACATCTTAGTTTGTGTCGAAACACTACGCATTCAAACTGAAAAAAAAAGTTTATTTGAATTGAATCACGTACAAATAAACTTTTAAAAAAAGATCCAATATTCAAAAAGAAAAAGAAAAAGAAAATATTGATATTAAATTATTAAATTTATACTTTTGATTTTTTTTTGATTTTTTTGTAAAGTTTTCTCAAGCTATATTTGTGTATATGTAATTATTTCGTTTCGAAAATATTTTTTGATAAAATTTTTGTTAATTGTCCATGGATAATTAAAATGAATGAAATATTATGTTATTTTTTTTTCTTTTTATGCATTATTTAGTAAATGTGGTAAGGTAAGATGTTAAAAGTCCTAAATTTGGTGAATAAAGAATTATTGATTCATGGCAATTATGCAATATAGTAAATGCCCGAACCATTGATTGTACAAGAGTATATGAGAAATCCATTTAATTCTTGTGTTGAAATAAACAAATAAGAAAATAAAGGAGTTCTATATAATTCTATTTGCTATAACAATAATATTAAGATAAAAAATAATAAAAATGCTAATAGATATGACATAAAAATAGTTGTTAAAGGAATGTAAAGTAGATATATTTTCATGATAAATGAGGTGTGTCGTAAATAATGGTAAAATGAAATTCGGATCTATAAGGTAATCGAACGATTACACAAATTCCAGAGATACTTATGGGATGGACATACGTCTTTCTAAAGATTCTAACCTAGCTTTCAAAGAAAGTAGTGCATCTTGGTAATCCTGAGGCTGGGTCTCTTCATTACGTGATGAAGAGGAAGACAAAGGTGGGCTGCAATGTTGATGGCCCGCTGATAAAAATTGCGATGAACCATCTTTACCATCAGGTTGAGCAAATTTTGACGTAGTTCCATTATTTTTATAACCCATATCATCACTAACAGTACTAATATCACTAAGTCTTCTATCAGTATCATGAGGTGGACTAAGACTCATTCCCGTATTAGCAGCATTACTAAGTACACGCTCTTCGATTTTTGAAAGTCTTTTTTCTAAGGCTGTCATATCTTTAATAACCTCTCTTTTCATTTCACGAAAATGTCCACGAACAAGACTTTCGATCATTGCCCCAGATGCTTGAAGTGTTTGTAATAAAGTAGTCGTTCTACGGATTTGATCTTCGAGAGTAGTCTTAAGAGAACGTGTATCAGAAACCGTATCATAGAAATTATCAAATAGATGAATAAAAGATTCTTTTGAAGGTTTTTCTTCATTAGAAACAGATGTAGGACTGTTAAGGTTAGAAGGATTAGAAGGATTAGATCGGATACTGGCAGCCGGACTAACCATAGGGCTACCATCTTCAGCATTATGAGGAGATATAAGACCATTGATATTAGCATTGAAGGAAGCAGAATGTGTAGGTCGAAAAGCAGAATTTGTAGATAATGGATAACCGAAAGCACTTTGTCTACTTGGAGCAGATTTTATCGTGGGAGCAGATGCAGGCATACCAGCAGATCTTTGACCATGATTGTAACCAGTATAAGGTGAAGCGAATACGCTAAGATTCCTAGAATTACGATTACTTTTGTTTCCTGAATGTCGTTTTGACATTGAAGAAATTGATCTATTCAAATCCAACCCATTTTGAGAAATTATTTTTGATGAACTTAAACTCGATTTTGATGACAAAGTATTACAACTAGTAACGGGATGTTGCCTATCATTAAAATAATTTTGTTGCTGCAACATTTGTTGATGAGCTTGATATTGTCTAGCTTCTATTATGGCCTTTTGTTGTTGTTTTAACTTTAGGGAATTTCTGACTTGTTCCATGACTTCCGGATTATTAGGGGTGATATTATTATTAGAACCAATGGCAAAGCGCCTTTTCTTTCTCATTCTAGTGTCATAGTCTGTGATTATATCACTGGAGGAATTTTGTGCAGATGGAGAGTGAGGTGATCCTGGTGAATGAACAGATCTTGGTGAATGATTTGGTGAAGAATTTTGAGAGCGATCACCTCCAGAATAAACAGGAGATTGTTCTTTTTTTATCGTTGATGACCCTCTGAAACAAGATAAGATATAATAAATTAAATATGAGGTGAATGATAATGAAACAAAATTTAATACAATATCAAAGAAAATTAAAAACCTTTCAGATTCCAAAGAAGAAGTTGAGTGATCAGATTGTGAAGTTATTTTTTGATCATACATTCGATCATTTTCTCTATCGTCATCATTATCTAGAACTTCTTCGAGGGACATACGTTTTCTTCCGGAAATTTGCGAAGATGAACTAGGCGGAGAATTTGTATCACTTTTCGGACTTGAATGGATTTGGGGGGTTTGCGAAGTGGAATATGAAATTGCAGGTTTTGAAGAAGAATCTGCGATGAAAAATTCAAACTCAGCCTCTATAAGAGGTTCACGAGTCATTAAATTTATTGAAACTTCTCTTAAATATCGATCAGCTACGCCCGATATTAAATCAGATTTTCCTAATTTTGCAAATTCAGCCAAGAGAAGATTTCCTAACCGAGTAGCTGTATCACTTATAGCTCTGGCAGCTAAAAACAAGTCACCAGAACGTTCATGAAAACAGTATCCGGGAGTTTCTATATATGCTTGGGGAATTTGACCTGATTTTGATACATAATCATTTTCCGAATTAAAGAAAATAGCATCGATGTCCCTTAATCGATAAAATGGTGAATGTATAGTTGTTCTTGAAGATATATCTTGACCTTGGGGGGAAGAAGCCACCAAAGGAAATAGATACAGACAAAAAGGCAGCTGATTGCCTTGAACAGAATACACACCGAGTTGAAGTCTTGTAACTTTCATGGTGTAAATATAAAAAGAGTGTGAAATTCAGTTGGCGGGAAAATAGATAATGTTGCTGGATAAGGGAATTAATATAAGGGGAAATAAAAGGTTTAAAAGACTAGCACAACAGGCCACGGGGAGAAAAAACAAACCAAAGAAAGGTTTGAAGGTAATATAAATGAATGTAAGGTTATGGCGAGTAGAGCAAGAGCCTTTTCGAAGTGTTGATAAGGAGAAAGTGTCACATTTCCGATATTTAAAACGTTAATTTAACTTTTGTTACACGAAGATTCTAACTTTATTCCAATTATGTGCATAAATTTTTTTTAGTGTTTCGAAAAATCTCCGTAAGTTCAATATATTAATTCAATATATTGTACATAGCAGTAGTGTACGCAATAAAACATTAATAATTAGTGAACAAATTATTTGACATAAGATTAAGACAATGATCAATGTGATTTTATAATTTAAAGTTTCTTCTTGTGATTGTTTCATAGTATTATCGGAAGTTTATCTCCATTAATAAAATTTAACGATGACTTTTGTATTAATTGGTCCTAGGATTTGGTACGCGATATTATTAAATTTTTTTTTGATATTTTAAAATTTCTTGGAAAGTTATGTATCACTCACTTGTCTTCCCAACAAGTCAAATTACTAAAATTAGCCAAATTAACGAACCAATTAAACAGTCAACATTTAAACAGAGTATTAAACAGAGCATAAATCCAATAAGTTCCAATTGGAATTTATAAATCCAATGTTCTAGCTGATGAGCCCAGTGAATCAAAATTATTCAGCACTGAAGCTATCATCCTTAATGATATTTAATGATGTCGTAAACAACATGCACAGTAAATTACCACCACGATATCGTAAATCACTAATAAATTGATCGAGTTATTATTGTTTGGTCATATCGATATTGGCACTCCGATTCGAATTCTGTACACGTCACAATTAACAGTACACAATTTTCAGGTTTAATTTTGTGCAATACATTTGTGTTAGAAATTTATATATTTATTATAGATTTACTACAATAAATACTATCATTCACGAAGCGATCAACAAATTGATTTATATAAATAAAATTTCAACCACGATTTATCGTAATCAAAATATATTCAATAACAAGTAACCTAATTACAAGTAACTTAATTTAGATATATTAAAAAAAGATATGAAACAAATTGTCTCGCAAAGATGATGAAAAAACGTGAGAATTTAGTTATAATTTGCTCATCACACGTCTTTCAAGTAGTAATATTATTTACAGCAAATTATCAATAATAATTTATAATAAATTATCAATAATATAGTTTATGTATAGTTGAATTACTAAATATAACTTTTTGTTAATTAATAAATGTAAATTTATTTATTATTTATTTAGTTAAAGTTTTGTTTATCTATTATGCATGTTTGGAAATTAAATAAAGTAAGTTTAAATAAATTTATTGTATCAACAGTCTAATAAAGTATGAAACTCTCTAATTTATTATTTATTAAACCATTTTCTACATAGAACACATAGTGATTAGAAAATTTTATTTTAATACATAAAATGTATGATCAATCAAATTTGAAATGTTTCTACGCACTAATTAAACTTGTCCAAAGAATATGTACTCCCCATATGTCTGTGTTAGCAAATTCTGAATTTGATTGGTTATCCAATTTTCTTGATGTTGATTGGTCGATTATGAAATCATTATAAAATCATGTGTAAAGCTTATCCCTTACACAGTTTTACAGGCAAGATCAAGCTAACTACAGTTTATATCACAACTATACTATGATAATGGTACGTACGGTGTAAGGGATAATAACCAAAATTTGATTGGTAATTAAGTTTTAATTTTAGTGTTAATAATATCTGGAAAGATCATAACCCTCATTCATTATCTATCACCGGTTGGTTACGAGTTAAGTATGTATGTACGCACGTACGTAAGTACATGTTAATATCCATTTGTTAAATTTTACATAAGTTTTACTGGATGTCAATTCAAATGTTTGCTGTCATTAGTCTATCGAATCATATCGAGTCAGTACTTGGCGATTTTTAATGTAACGATACCTATCGCAGTGATTGGACCCGTCCACAACTAAGATCGCCTGCGGATGAGCCACTCGGATAATCGGATAATTCGGGCGGTAAAAGAAATTATAGCACGGGTGAATAACCCGGGCAGTTAAATATTCATGGATATTTACCATTTAATTGTATTTTATTTGCGTGAGTATAAAGAAGATTATCAGTCTAAGTATCTAAAGTAACCTTCAAGTTCGCGAGCGTTTGCTATTTTATTTACATTAATTTGTGTGAGTATAGAGGATTTATTGATTGATCTAAAAATATATGAGCAAGGTTTGTAGAAAATTGATATTTAACTAGTATCCGTTCAATAAGTAAAGTTATAATGAAATAACTTTTCTATAAATTTACTTATTGAACGAATACTACATATCTTGCTCTAAGTCGGCTGACAATTATAACGAATATTTATTACCTTATTCGCTTTAATAAGTCGGCGCATAAAAATCATTTAAACTCAAGAGTCTTGTGAATAATGATACAATTGATAATTATGAAGATACAATGGAGAATGCGCGCATTGTAATGAATATAACACGAGTGAAACATGGAGTCAGACATGTGATCCTGACGCAACAACTCAGCATGGTCAAACTTATGGTTGGTTGGATTCCATTTCATAGACTAGATAATATTAAAAAAAGTAGGGGGAGATATGAAAATTTACGAGAAACAGTGACAACCACGCTTAAGATCGCGCGAACAATCTAGTATCTTTGCGTTCAAGATCTTTTTAGATTTAAGGCAAATTCTCATGATTTTTGAAAGACGTTACATTGTATGTATTTCATTCATATGTGTTTGACAGTCTCAAAATGCGAATTAGGGTAATAATCTTAAGGCATAATTTTTGGCTCAAAACAAAAAAATACTTGACAATTTTCAATATGCCTAATGTTGGGAATCTTTATAAGTTGTTAAGAAAAAACTAATACGTAGCACACCATATATAGATCTTCAGATGAATGAAATATGGAAATGAGAAAGGTTAGCCGTTAAAATGGTTTGTATAGCTAATTCTAAAATTTAAAATGCATCATGTATTTTTTTAATATAAGGCGGCATTCAGAGGAGCTAGAGTTAATAGGGAAATGCATATCTTATTTGAAGTGCATAACAGAGTTTTACACTAGTGAAATTTGATAATGCTGCAGCACAACTATAACTTCTAACTTTGAATCAAACATTAGTGATAGAGAAACATATAAATATAACAATCCAGTTCATTTTTTTCTTCCGGCCACATATAAAATCTTGGTCAAAAAAGAATGCCGCCGGTTAGGCGTAGATCAACTTTAACTGTCATAGATAATGTATATTTCGAAAAGAGTTTGAATGGGTCAACTACATTTGTCTTATATAGTTACTTAAGTGCATTCGATCTGGTGAAGACTTGCTTTTGGCTGCGGCCTGAATTTGTTCCCGATTCCGAATTGTCACGAAATAATTTTCTGAAATACATTTCCAGAAAGGACCAAATCAGCAAACATGTCAGCTAACTTTATCATGATCATGTTCTTTCGAGAAAATGACATTCGGGAACTTGAGTTACGAGTTACAATGGTGTACGGCGAACCCCTTGTCAATTTTAAATGATACGCATTGTTAAAATATTTCGATGCATATAGATCAAAGGTTGATACATTGATCATAATCATATACTATGAGTACTATGAGTTGCGTTATAAAAAATTAAATACCTTCAGGATCGAAGTGCACATTTGAATTTATCTCATTATTCTCCTTAAAATTAATCTTCCCACTGAATCGGCCTGAACATGATCGCTCTTACTAGACGAATCTTAATTAAAATTTTGCTTTCCCTTCTTTTATTCGTTATTATTATACGATCCGCTCCCATCGCTGTATTTTTTAATGATCCGTCACAAACACTTGCCCTAAGGAACTTTAACAAACGATTTATTCCACCACTTAGTCCCGGATACGGTCGTTTGATCGGATTGGGCCTGAAGAAAGTTCCTGTCGGTACAACTTCCGATGAGTCAAGTAGTGAGGTTAGTCAAAGTTTCGGACAAGCCACTGAAATTTCCGATGATTCAGTAGACGGCAATATGGTTCATGGAAATGGTTTAGGAAGGTTGGGCGGTTTAAAAAAGCCAAAAACCGGAAAGCATATTTTATAATCTTTCAGCTGTTATCTATTCTCGATACGAAAATCAATAAATGTCCAAAATATATAATTTATCATTATATAGGCTTCTTATTAAAAGATCCCAATTGACAGATATTTTTTTATTGATCATTTCAAGATCACGAGTATTAATCCAAACCAAATAATTACAATACTAGCTCTCAGGCTCAGGATTGAAATTTTAATTTTTCTTTTAATTTATTAAGCTTGTTTATAGATAGTATTAGTTTGTAATTTAGCATGATTTATATATAAAATAATAATAATAATAATAAAATAAAAAACTTTCCTAAAGAAAAAATTTCGGTCGTGCTTATTTTAACCTTCAAAAAATATTTTTAAGTCAAATATAATTGAATAGATAAAATAAAAGACGGATTTATTGAGCCACTTTGGGAATAAAGCCGATTCACTTGAACATGAGGTAGAATTACTTGAACCCGAATTGGATTCAAATAATCTTAGGGTATGTTAGACAGTTGTGTATATGAGACTTGAGATGGTTATGGAGCATAATAGCAATAACTTTTCAGAATTGGTTAAGGAATAAATAAATACAGAAGTAAAGTTAGTATTATTAGGAATTTTTTTGTTTCAGTAATATAAACAATATTGATATTATAATAAAGATAATAATTTTGTTATGTTTTTTTTGGTTAATGTGTTAAAGTCTTAACATATATGTAACAATAATTAAATAAAGATAATATAGTTTTAAGTCTTAAGGTATATTGTTATAAAAGATTGTAATTAGGAGTTTTCAAAATCAAATTAAGTTAAATATTGGATCAATTTGAATTTTATCAAATCAAATTTACTTTAATTTAAATTTGATTTGATTCAAAAACTTGAATTTAACTTATATTTAAATTTTAAAAATATTGCTACAATTATTGAAAAAATTCTTACTTTACAAAACTTTTATTATATTAATTAACTTTGAGTTTTTAAATAAAAATATTTTTAGTTTTATTATTTTTTTTAATATTAATGTAAGTACTTGCGACTTAGGATTTTATTGATAATAGATTCAACTAATAGTTGCATTACAATTACAAGAGGCAACTATAGAAAGAGTGTACAACTAGTCATTTATACAACTTTAGTTATTGTTGAATTTAAGTAATCTGCCTAAAGATTCTATATTAATTATTATACCTAAAACTTAAATGTAAGTTTTTTTATTTAAATATTTTAGGTTTTATATTCATTCATCTAACTATATTTACCAACTGCTTTAGTTATTACTAATACAAATATATTATAATTACTAAATCTTTAAAGCAGTTCATTTATATTAAAATTTTTAATCTTATATTAAACCTTTCAGAATCTTTTATATTCTATTTTATAGCTAACTTAGTAATGCTATAGTCAAAACCAATATTTTACATTTAGAATTAATATACTTTTATAAAGTTTATACAATTTAGTATTTTTTTTTATAACCTTACTAGTATCTTGTATATCCTTATAAGTTTTTTATATTACCAATCTAATTAGCTTTATATAATGCATTTTATACTCAAATTAACTAGTAATTAGGTTGGTAAATTTTTTTTATTTAAAAGTTTTTATCTGTACAGATTATTTGTTTTAGGGTTTCTTCTTCAGATTAAGATTTTTACAAATAATACTATTAAAAGTTATATTATCTTTTTATTCAAGATTTTTAATAGGTTTTTTATCTGAGTATATACTTTTTAAATTTATTTATATGTTATTGTATACTTTCAAAAATAATCTTAATATAACTAAAATTATAAAATTACAAACCTTAAATTATAAATAAGTTACTAAAATAGAATTAATTTGGAATAGAATCCTGTAGTCTAGTAGTTTAGGCTCTTCTTCTTCTACAAACAAGATCAATAGTTCAATTCCAACTGAAGGCAAAATTTCTGTAATTTATAGAAGCATATGAATATATATGAAGTCCTGTAGTTTAAGTTCATATGTATAGAAAATCAGTATATAAGTAAGTTCTCAGAAAGAAGGTTTCTGATATAGAAAGATGGTGCTTGATGTAAAAAAAGTAGTGAATATATCAGAAGCAATGAATATATCAAAAATAGAGAGAAAGCATACTAGTAGATGATACAATGAATATAAAAAAAAACTATAAAAAAGAAATAGACTTATTGAAAATTTAAACATTTTTGGCACCAAACTAGTGTTACAAATTAGATTTTAGCATAGTATATTATATAGTAGTATTAGTAATTATATATATATTTATTATTGTATTTTATATTATATTTATTATTAGTTATTAGTTAGTTGATAGTTATATTATATAGTAGATAGATAAAAAGGATCTTAATTGGCTATTAAAAATGTGGTATAGCTACATAACACTGAGTAACATTTGTGATATTACTATTATTTTACAAACCCCAAGTACTTCTATACAAGTTTTATATATCCTAGTACCAAATTACTGCACCAAGTATCACAGCACAAGAATTCCAAGTATCCTTAATATGAACCCCAAATACCTTCACATAAATTCCAAATATCTCTACACAAATCTCAAATATCTTTACACAAATCCAAGTACCTAAACACAAGCCCTAAATGTTTCAAGCACAAATGACAAATAATATAAACAATATTCCCAGTTGCCTTTACACAGTCACTACTACTCTAAGCATAGTATTATTTAATGTTGTTTAAATCTCCACTATCCCAAGTACAATGATATCTAATATTGTTTAAACCCTCATTATCCTAAGTACAGTATCAAATAATGTTGCTCAAATTTCCACTATTCCTGCTAAATAAAAAAATATATAAAGAGTACCTTTTATCCTTTCTTGCCAATTCTAAGTTCCTATACTTCAATCTAAACTCTTCTATCTTTATTCCTAATTTGTAAAAGTAATATTCTCTCTCCAGAGTAATTTCTACAGACAAGGTTGTTACTGTGTATTTATTTAATAAAAGTTAATCTATATATTATTATTTTCTCGAACCATTTGTCTGCTACTATGTAGTAAAGTAAACTACTACACCTTTACCCCATCTATATTTGTAATAGTCAATCATTGTACTAAGTAACCTTGTTACTTGATTGTATTGTACCAAGAAGGCTACAATCCTGTAACATTTTGGTGCTTTCTGGCAGAAATATAAAAATTTATTCCAGGAAAGAAACAGAAATCTCTCTTAAGAAAACTATTTCAGAAAGCAATTTTCTCTCTAGGAAGAATTTTATTTTGAAAGCAGCAATTATGAAAAAGTATTTTAAAATTTTAGAATTATTATTTTAGATATACCTTTACTAACTCAAATTGAATTGAATTATTTTATATTTTGCATTTGTATCTTGTATTTTGGAATTGAAGAAATTTATGTTTTTACCTTCTATCTTTAAATTTTTGATTTTTAAAATAATCTTGATTTTGATTTTTGATTTTGATTTTTGATTTTAATATTACTTACTGGCTAATAAATATATTTTGAATTGTTTAAACATTTAATTGATTACTTGAATTCTTTACTTGCTAGCACTATCATTTTAGATTTATTCTTTCAATTTTATTATTTTATTTATCATTTTTTTACTTATTAGTACTAACTCTTTTCAAAAAAATTTATTTTATAAGAGATTTTTTCACTCGATTTTATTTAGAAAATATTTGAAAACATCAACAGATTTACAATAAAAACCTCTTTCTCACTATAACTGTATTGCAAACTCTTGAAATTAATTTATCTTGCCTATAGTGTTATCTACCTTCTAATCTTATGAATGCTTTGCTGCATTTTGAACTTGGTATTCTAAAAACTACTGAACTATTTCCTTTAGTAAAGTTACTCATTCTACCTTTTAAGATTAGCTACTGCTGAATGTTCAGCTATTCAAGTTGTAACTAGAAATATTATTTTTAGTTATCATTATTAGAATCAGATAACTAACCCTCAAGATATTGTACAAATCATCTTTCAAGAATATACTTTTCATTATTCAGTATCATCAATTACTGCTAACCAAATGACTCTATTTGATATTTTTATTGATAATCCAGTTAGAGCTCAACAACATATTGAAACTTTACAAACTGCTGCATTAGAATTAGCACAAGGTTCCGAGAAAGAAACTAGTGCATCTGCTTTTTAACAATTATCACAAGAAACTGTTATTACTATAGAAGAATCTGCTACAACTTCTACTTATCTTATTACTCTGTTGTTACTTTTACTTGAACTCCAATATCTATTGTAGACCCTAGCTTTTTAGTACCATATAATGGAGATCAGACCAGTGGACATTATACTTATTATCAACCAAATAACTTATCAAAAATAGGAGAAGTACCTTCTCTTTTTATTTAACTAGAAGCTTTATAAGAAAAAGAAATTACCTAAAAACCCTTTTACACTCCAACTTGACTCTCATATCTCTCTTAACTTTTAACTTTAACTACATCAAGACCAGTTAATAAATTCACTAGATTTGTAATTAAAGGATTTAATCTTCTTTCACCTCATCCTGATATTGAATCAAGTCTAGAAGAAACTTCACCTACAACAACAAAAAATCTTATTACAACTGAGGAAGATACCTCTTTAACTTTTAACTTATCAGAAGCAACTAATTATCCTGAAACTATAATTATACAATCTATTATTGAAATACTATTTAATTATCACCAACCTATTGATCTTGAAAACTTTGTCTGAAACTTAGAAACTCATACTCAAGAAGACACAACTTTAACTATTAAAGATCTTAATCTATTAACAGAACATGACTATTCTGAAGAAACAGAAATTTTAGAAAAATAACCTCTATCAGAAGAAGAAGAACCAAAAAGCTCAAATGAAACAATTATTAATAAACTTGACTTTAAAGACAAAAGAGCTATGGACAATGCTGTTGCTACAATGAATAGACTAGTTGATACTCTTGGAGCTGCAGAGAAATCACTTTTTAAAATTGT